CTGGGGTATAAGATGAAACCCTATCTTTTAATTAAAAAGATAGGGGGTCGTCTTATACGCCCAGTCGCCCTATACGCCGGAAACAGGACTATGTAGCACTTTAAAGACTAACAAGATGGTTTATTAGGTGATGAGCTTTCGTGGGCCAGACCCACTTCCTCAGATCAAATAGTGGAAGAAAATTGGCATGACCATATATACCAAAGGATATGTCTTGAGGGTGAGAAACTACAAATCAGATTTTGTGTTAACTGTAGTATGCTTTTGTTCAGAGAAGTGCCTACAGGACTATGTAGCACTTTAAAGACTAACAAGATGGTTTATTAGGTGATGAGCTTTCGTGGGCCAGACCCACTTCCTCAGATCAAATAGTGGAAGAAAATTGGCATGACCATATATACCAAAGGATATGTCTTGAGGGTGAGAAACTACAAATCAGATTTTGTGTTAACTGTAGTATGCTTTTGTTCAGAGAAGTGCCTGTGCAAAATGGCACTTTCTTACCCACTGAAGCTGATCCCTAGGTGTATTCATTGTCAGCCCTGCTGCCTCATGATGTGCCAGCAGCCAGCCACTTCTAGAAGTGGTGTGGGGCCACGGCCGGCCGGCAGCCTTTCTGAGCCCTGCTATAGCACTGACATTTAGCAGCTGCATTTATTTTTGTGGGGCCCACCATAGCCCAGGATCCTGGGCTGCAGCCTAGAAAGCCCCTGATGATATGCAGAATGGAGGCCTGTATTCTGGGAATCAGTAACTCTGAAAAAGATGTAGTGATCATAATGGACCAGCAAGTAAGCATGAACTGCAAGTGTGATGTTAGGGCAAAAAGGGCTAATTAATTCTTGGCAGTATAAACGTGGTTGGAGTAAGGAGGTAGGTTTATCTCCGTGTGCAACATAGGTCAGACAAATCCTGGAATCCAGTTATGGATTTGAAAAAGGCAGCTAAAAATTGGAGAGGGTATAGGACTGGAAAATGCCTTACAGTGAGAGAGAGCTCAGTCTCCCTAGTTTATCAGAAAGAAAACTCAGGATGACTTGATTACAATGCATAAGAGAAAATACTGGGTACTAAAGGCCTCTTTACCAATGGCTGGAAGCTGAAGCCAGACACATTCAAATTAGAAATAAAGCACAAATTAATGAGAGTGATTAATCATTGGGACAAACTACCAAGGGAAGTCATGGATTCTTCCTCTTTTGATGTCTTCATATCAAATCTAGATGCCTTTCTGGAAGATTTTTTATTTAGTTGGAATTGGTCCTGCCTAGAGCAGGGGGCTGGACTTGATGACCTTCTGAGGTCTCTTCCAGTTCTATGATTCTATGATTCTAAGACTTACTTTAGTCAAACACAAATCATACTTTGGTCAGACACCAGTTGTTAGGCTCAATACAGTGGTAACTGGGTGACATTTAATGCCTGTGATACACAGGGGCTGTGTCTACACTGGGCCACTTATTCCAGAAAATCAGCCGCTTTTCCGGAATAAGCTGCGAGCTGTCTACATTGGCCCTTGAATTTCCGGAAAAGCAACGATGCTCTACTGTACAAAATCAGCCGCTATTCCGGAAAAACTATTCTGCTCCTGCTCGGGCATAAGTCCTTATTCTGGAACACTGTTCTGGAAAAGGGCCAGTGTAGACAGCCCAGTAGTCTTTTCCGGAAAAAAGCCCCGATCGCGAAAATGGCGATTGGGGCTCTTTTCTGGAAAAGCGCGTCTACATTGGCCACAGACGCTTTTCCGGAAAAAGGGCTTTTCCGGAAAAGCAGCCTGCCAATGTAGACGCTCTTTTTCCGTAAAAACTGAAAACGGAATAGTATTCCGTTTAAAGCATTTCCGGAAATTCATGCCAGTGTAGACACAGCCAGGGGGGTCTAACTAGATCTAGGGGTTGCTTGTGGCTGTAAACTTTTATGAATGTCTCAGATGGGACCTAAGACTGAAGTCTTGAACTCTTGTGATTATTAAAAATACTAGTTAGCCTAGTGCCCTGGATGAACAACAGCTCATCTTCACATTTTGATACCTAGTATGTCCCACTTTCTCTCAAACACAGGTGTGAACTGTTGTTGCAAGCTGTTAAATACCTCCTGTGTTGCATGTATTATGCTAGTGGGTGCACAAATACACCTGCATCTCTCTCCTGCCCCAGCGCAGTGCTGTGAGGGTTAATTGATGCCTGTTAGGCATGTGGACGTTACTGGATGAAAAGTGGAAGCTGGGAAGAATGACCAGAGAGAGATGGAGCAACTGGGATCTCTGGGAATTCTGAAAGCAGAAAACTTCAGAATTGGTAGGCTGTACTAGGGTGTGAGAACTCAGTGGCAGAGGTGTAATCTTTTTATAGTCAATGGTACGCTCCACAAAAGCCTGCAAAATTTGACCCACTGCTTTCCTACTCACTCAGGGCTCAACCTTGTATCATTAATGTCAATGGGAGAGGGTGTCCTATTCCAGTGTTTCTCAACCAGTGGTACAAGTACCCTTACGGGTACTCAAGAGACATCTGGGGGGGTACGTCAACACAACTGAAATTTGGAGAAAACTGAATTTTTGTTTTAAGTTTTACAGCACTTTATTATTTTTGTACTTTTTACACCCAAAAAATTCATTGCCTGCCTGGCTACGATTAAGTTGTTTAAACAAATGAGTTGCAATGGTAGAAAAAATTTTGTGTGTGTCTGAAAACTGTAGGTACTGGGGCACTTATAATTTTTTTTAAAAGGGGTACTTTATCAAAAGAGATTGAGAAACACTGTCCTATTCTCTGGTCCATTAGCCATACAAAACAACTTTATACCAGCCAAAGAGAATTCCCACTGTGGAGGGCACCTGGCCATTGGCACAATCTGACAGCAGAGGCTCTGCCTTCTCTAGCACTACCTCTAGTGCCCTGCACTAGATTCATCCCTTAAATAAAGGTTTCTGCACCAGCTCTGGCGTTAGGGGAGGTAAGAGGTGACTTAGGAGTGTTCCGGGGGCAGGGAGGGAAGGGACTTGGCAGTAGAGACTCTGCTACACCTCAGTCTCCCTGACCATATGCTGCTATTGGTGTGTGTAAAAGTTGCTTCTGTGCAGTGTCCTCTTGAATTGGGGCTGGGTAGTTGAGGAGCTAAAAGTGGCTCTCTCTGTTCCCTGGCTCCACAATGTTAGGAGGGAGAGCCTGTCCCCAGCAACCCCCAAGTGTGGGGCTTGGGGCACCCCCCACCCCGCTGCTACAGCCCCCACCACTCATTGCTCAGCTCTCTTGGCCCCCTCCCACTCAATGTATGCTG